TCCTCCTAGAATCACCTAAAGCAACACAATCGTGAAAATATATGGTACAAATGAGATGTTAGAATGAACTGTTGTCGATTCTATTCAAGGGTTAAAATCCCATTCCCCCCCCTCCCACCCCCACCCCCCAAGTTACGTGTGTGTGAGCCAAATTTATGGTATCGCTGTTAGTATTTTTGTAAGGAATCGACGTTTCATTAGAGTCACCTGTAAAATGGTTGGGAAATGAAAGATTTATATATGACATTTTCATCATTTTTTATATTTCTTTTTACATTGGTATTGTATCTAAATTCTTCGTATTATCATATATTGGCCTTCATTATTTTTTTATTACTGTAACGGTCTTAATTTGATATTTTAGTTCACCAATCGTGTTAGTTGTTGAACAGGCGTACTTTACAGTGACACAAACTTTTTCTTTCACGGAGTCCAAAATGTCAGTGGAAGAACTACACTGTACGTCGTGTGCGACGACCCCCGCAAGGTAGTGGTACAATGTAACCGGCAAACAGTCGAGGCGTAGGACCCCCATGAGATGGAGCAGGCACTGGATTAGATGAAAGAAGTTTCAAGTGGCGTTTGAAGCTTACTCGCCAACTTGTCAACGAGGGTGACTTAGGCGACAAGGAAAACTTGTATAAGGTCGTTGAAATAATGAACTTTATCAAAACTAAACATGTCATTCTTGAAGGGTGCTGTTACCAGTAAAGAACAAAAGAAAAGTACTGAAGACAATCAGATATTAAACCTATTACCAAACCCAAGAGCTGATATTGACAATTTGACAGAAATCCGTCCCACTATTTTTCCTTCATTTTGGTGAATGATGTGTTTATTGACAGTAAAGCATTAACCAGTTTATATACAGGACGGGAAACAAGCAAAATAATCCGTTCAAATATCATTTTGGGGGTGATATGAATAGATGTCTTTCTGTATTTTTCTAAGTCAATGGTAGCATATGGCCGGCATAGTGGCAAAACTGACTCCAAATTATCTGTGATCTATCTATCTATCTATCTCCTATTACGCCGTTGGGCGTCTAGGGCGACAACAAAGGTCCTCCACTCCTCTCTGTCTCTCGCTAGATGTTGAATTGTCCCCCAACTTTCGCCCAGTTGTTTCAGTTCTGCTTCAACCGTCCTCCTCCATGTGGTCTTGGGTCTGCCTCTTTTTCTTTGCCCCTCTTGTGTCCAGTACATAGCTACGTTAGTGGTGGAAATTGGGTCTTTCCTCAGAACATGGCCAATCCATTTCCATCTTTTTGTCCTGATGATTTCACTTATACTTCTCTGGTTGGTTTGCTTTAACAGATCATCATTAGATATAGTCCTTGGCCAGAATATTTTTAAAATTTTTCTGAGACTTGAGGTGTGAAAGGTAGACAGCTTCCTGGGATCTTCTTCAGTTATGCGCCAGCATTCTGAACCATAGAGAAGAGTTGATAGTACACAGCTCTCAAATATACAGAATTTGGTTTTTATACTACATATATTGAGAGCATTTCCAGATTTTGTTTAAGCTCTTAAAGGCATTTCTGGCTTTGGTTAGTCTGTTGTTGACATCTCTACTGTGAGTAACAGATTATTTAAATGTTCAAACGATCATAAACATCTTAAGGTATGACAGCATAATATCCAAGCCAGATGAAATGCAGAAATTAGCAGGCCATTTGCAAATTGCGATCGCTTCACGAGAAAAACTTGGTATTATGAGTTAAGTAGACAAAAAACGATTTTGGAAATCGTGAAAAGGTTTAAGGGTTGGCCGCGTTTATGAAAAATGGAAGCGTATAGGGCTTGAAATTACATGTAAATACCGTGACGACAATCACCAAGCTTTCAATCAGTTTGCAGAATTTTTGCCAAGGTTCGCTACACATGCCCGTGACCCTACCGGGGTTCTTATTTTAAACTCGGGTTATTCGCTTAGAAATTCTAGAAGGTCTGACAGGGATTCTTGTCTTTTCGGGTCTAGAAGAGGTTGTCTGATAATGTACATACCCTGTAGTGATGACACCAAGATGGCTCGTTGACAAGACAATTTAACAAGAAAGGTGGCATTGAGCTCATCGTTGCTGTACCCATGCCTATCATGGTGTCAGGTCATTGTGGAGGCGGTGAAAATCGGCATAGACGATTTGGTCCGAACCACCATGCGCAAAAGGCGTTTTAAGTTATCCCGTTATGTAAGGCCAGTTATTAAGTTGGTATATGACTATTTAGAGGGAGACGCAGGTTGAGAAAATTATAACCATATGCAGAAATAGAGCCGAAATGCTTAATTGGTCTTATTTCCGTTCATGCATCTAAGTAAAGACCAATGGCAATAATGTCTTGTACACCATCTTCTTGCATGCTAATAAAAAGAAAGCCCAAATTGTCGATAACTGGGTTGAAGTCAAACACTTGACATGAAAACTGACATGAAAACGCTGACATAATATGAAACATGTTTTGTGCATTTCATATCATGAAATTTAAAAAAACAGTTGGCCTAAGCTAACTTACCCTCCGCATCCGCGAACAAGTCAATAACGACCATTGTCACCAATAGCAAAGCGATCAAGGTTCTCTTCTCCATGTTGTAAATTTGTCACACACTCGGGAGTCGTTTCAACAGCAGTATGAAGTTTTCCAAATTTCTCCACCACTCAAATGGGGATCTTGTCGCAGGAAGTGGCCTCGCCCATCTAAAAAATTAATATGAAAAAGCACAGGGGTGCAAAATGTTGATTGGCTGTCTGTGACCTCGAGTGATGTGACGTTTAAGGACATGCCTATTGTAAATGGATGAACAATTACACTGGTCCTGTATTACCCTGAACACTAAGCCGCGACGCAATCATGTATATTTGTAGCACTAGGAGGACTCGGATTAGACTCTTAAAACATTTAAACTAAATGTTAACATATACATTTCTTATGGTAAACAAAAGATAATTTGTGAAAATTTTCAAACAAAAATACTAATATTACATAGGCGAGGTATTGAAGAAGCCACAAAATTTCTACTGAATAGTGAAATAATAATTTTGTTCATATATGACAATTATCAAAGACAAGCCGAAACATTTTAATACCGTTAGCTTACCCAGTATATTAATTACAGCCAATCTGGACGTAGACCTTCATCAGACTAATGTCAGTAGAAGTTGTTAGGACTCACTGGCCGAAACTTCATTGTTATTTCAGTTTTCATTGAAAAAGGTCCACCCTCAGTATCTTCAGTGTTTTGGTTTATAATCATTACACAATGGGCTTTTAGGAGCATTCTTTGATAAAAAAAAATAGAAACGCAATTAGCTGCCTGTCCTTCTACGTTCGTGCTTAGAAAATTGGAAAGCACTGGTTGTGTCACTCCTCAGTAGTACAGTTGTATATCTTACAAAAAAATAAAGGTACAAAAGCTGACACATGGTTGCACAGACTAATGACCTCGCCTAGGCGGGTTTATAATATGCCTGGATTTCATTCTTGCTTGTAGCACAGTCATGGATCAAGAACTTTTCTTAAAATGTCGCCTCGGTTCCAATCGTCGTGCCCCCCCCCCCCCCAAAAAAAAATAAATTATGCTTTTTCTATATATAAAATGCATCAGAGTGTAGATAAAAAATGTCTTTCTTTATTTATGGCGAGTGACCAAACAAAATAGCTTTACAAGCATGCATTCTTGGCGAATAGATAATCTAGACTTTATTTGCTTCAGGCGATCGTAAAACATACCCCTGGCACGGGTCGTACATACTGTATGGTGGGAGTTTTGTTCAGGTAAAATTAACTAGCAAAAAAAAAGAAACGTAAGTTTTGTTATGTCTCTAGTTTCATGAATTCATTCCACCAATGAAGGTCTTAACTCTATTATTATTATTATTATTATTATTATTAACATACTCAGAACGTGTTCAGCCCACCTCCACCCTGAGCTTCAGAGCTAACTTGACACTAACCTTTTCACTGTAGCCTATCTCCATCGTGTCAAGTAACCTCTGACGAAAATAGTTTGACCTAGTTTATATAAGCCAATCAAANCCCCCCCCCCCCCCCCCCCCCCCAAAAAAAAAAAAAAAAAAAAAAAAGATTATGCTTTTTCTATATATAAAATGCATCAGAGTGAAGATAAAAAATGTCTTTATTTATTTATGGCGAGTGACCAAACAAAATAGCTTTACAAGTATGCATTCTTGGTGAATAGATAATCCAGACTTTATTTGCTTTAGGCGATCGTAAAACATACCTCTGACGCGGGTCGTACATACATGTCCTGGATGATGGGAGTTTTGTTCAGGTGAAATAAACTGACAAAAAAAGAAACGTAATTTTTTTTATGTCTCTAGTTTCATGAATTCCTTCCACCAATGAAGGTCTTAACTCTTAATAATAATAATAATAATAATAATTATTATTATTATTATTATTATTATTATTATTATTATTATTATTATTATTATTTTAAAACATACTCAGAACGTGTTCAGCCCACCTCGGATCTGGTGTTAAAGTTATATCCAGCGCACTTTGACCACAGGGCCCGCCAATAGGCTGTTACAAAATTATTGTATCGGACCCTGCAGGATTTGACGTCATCAACGACAACACGTTCCTCGTTAGAAAGACCCTTTGTTCTTGTCATTGGGCGCGATTTCAACAAAGGTGTTGAGTAGTGCACATTCCTATTTCTATGCTAAGTAATGCAAGTGAAGGTTGGTCTCAGACTTACTATAGATGCCGACATGAGTGAGGACACCCAATCCCACAATTATCTTCCTCTGCTGCTGAGCCGCCGTAACAGAAGAGCAGATGACCTGATTGGGCTTATTCCCACAGAGGCCTATACTTTAATATTGTATTCTGTTTTAAAGGCCCCTGTTATCATTGGATAGAAATTACATGCGAACGTAAATGCTCACGTTTCTCCTGGGCAACCCCCTCCTCCCTGACCCCCCCCCCTTCCCCCACCACCTCACTGGAAATTATACTACTTTAGTTTAACTTTTATTTCTTGAGTATCACTGATATATTGACATGAAATTTACATTATATACACATGTATATATGGCTTGGGAAGATGCATAGGCGTTTTTCTTCTGTTTGTCAGTACATAAACGTTTATAACGCGAATATCTACTGAACGTCCAAGCTGTAATCACTCGTATCGGGATTATACGCGAGAAATATTAAATTTATCACAAATGTCATAAAGAAGAAAAGAAAAAGAAACATCCTATCAACTACTAATACGATTAACTCCCATTCCATTTTGCATATGTCGTAACGCCGTTTCATTTTCCAATGTTCCTCGAACCCATCCAACCTCCGTAAAATTTTCGCCAACGTATCATTGTCTTGGTTGTTTCCTTTCTTGTTTTCTGACGGCGCCGAAAGAGGGCGTATCTGTGGTGTTCTGCATAGGCTTGCCGTTGAAGTAAATTTCTGTGCTGGTGTTTCTGTTGTCATGTATTCTTCATCCTTCTTGGGTATTTTGCCGTTTGCAGCAGGGACGACTTTATCTTGCACCTTGAAAGAAAAAAGATAATTGTACCACGTGTATGCCTAATTGTATGTTTTGCTCCGCTGGACCACTTATATTTTCTGGCACATGTTATCACTTTTATTTATTCATCTTGAAAAACTGCGTCTCTCCCCTTATTAAAGTAAACCTTATAATTAACTTGTGTTATGTATCTTAAAAGATATGGAATGTCATTATCTAACGAGTTCTACTGGTACAGCTTTACGAGTAATAATCACACGGCCAATTAAACCCACCTCTGACGGATTCCAGTTTTCTAGGTTTTGCTGTACCAGTCTCTGAAGACACATGGCCTTGGCTAAGTTGCCAAGGACGATTCTCCTGAGCCAGGGAGGAGCACGTGCACCATGCGCCCCGCTGTACTGCATGTTCATCACCATCACTGTCATGGCTGTGGAGATGCACAGCAGGAGAATGGCACAACCAAAATAAATTGCTGGAAGAGTGGAAGGCAGTGATACATATTCTATGATGTATTTCACTTACAAATGGAGCTTATGTGTTGAGAGCAAATGCGTTGTACATGTATATACGAATTTAGCCCAGTCTTAATCAATAAGCACTGAATGATTTAAGTATACAGTATTATAAATCGCACGAACTTCTACAAACATGGTCAAGCACGAAGACTTTTAAATAACAGACGAAGTGACCCTACCGTGCCTCAGATACATAATATCTACTTTTCTAATTCAGCAATAAGGTCGACTGACTTTCCCATTTGCTGTCACCATCGTCTAGGCGGTCTTAAAACCCACTACCTACCTATCAGCGGTATAGCATCGGCTTGGGGAGGCATAATCTCTGCCACTAGCAGCATGAACACTGTCAGCGCCAACAACACCGTGACCACAAGAGAAACCTTCTCTCCAGACTCTGGCGGTAGGTAAAACGTCAGCAGAGCGATGGATACGATAAAAATGCAAGGCACCATGATATTGAACATGTAATAGAGACTCCGCCTCCTCATGACGAAGTAAAACGTCACATCCGGGTAAGCCTCAGAGCAACATTGGTACGTCACGACGTGACGGACAACTGGCAAGGCAACCAGCTCCCACTCTCCGTTAGCGACGTAATTGGAGACGTCGCCATATTCCGTCATGTTCACCAAATTCAGATGATCTCCATGAAAACTCCAGGAGCCAAACTTCATGGGACACACCTGTAGGTCCTTTGGGAAGTATTGGACGTCCAGTTTGCAGTAGCTCTGGTAAAGCGCCGGCGCCAGCCATTTGACGCTGCCGTCAGACTTCACTTGGGCTTTGTAGGCGTCCAGCGTCCGTTGTTCCTCCGTCACACTGAAATGTACGTAGGCCTACATGTATATCAGACTTGGGTCACAAGTTATTTGTTTGCTATTTACAACAATTAAGCATTTCGGTATCTTTATCACACTTTGCTTTTAATATTTCCAACAAGGATTTATTTTTGCATTTGTTGGTTTGGTAGTGAACATCCGAACTGCAACAGTAGTGGTCGGATTTCGTTAAGCTTTCCAGGATAGGTAAAAAATTTGGACTAAGAAACGGCTTGATTTGGTGGTGATCAATTCATAGCAATGAAAATTAGGCTGCCTTGGCGGAGGTTTGTGCTATCCGAGTACCTGTTAATTTTTTTAAATAATCATTGTTCTTGCTTAAGTAGCACAACTTTGTGTTAGAACTAGGCATTTCTTGTTATAAGTAAAAGAACTAAACGACGCGGTGCACGTAGTACTCTAACCATTGCAAGCCTAATGCCTAATGTTACTACCAGTGTTCGGAATGTTCTTCTTTCCTTCACACTTGTCACTCACTCGTTATAAAGGATGATGTCCGGTCGCCAGATACTTGTTATGGGCACGTGGATGTCCTCGATGTGACCATACAGGCTCTCGTTCCAGGATAGGCGAGAGTCGGACCATGTCTGTCAAAATAAATCGNTGCCCACCTCAGATCTGGTGTTATATCCAGCGCTCTTTGACCACAGGGCCCGCCTATAGGCTGTTACAAAATTATTGTATCGGACCCTGCAGGATTTGACGTCATCAACGACAACACGTTCCTCGTTAGACATACCCTTTGTTCTTGTCATTGGGCCCGATTTCAACAAAGGTGTTGAGTAGTGCACATTCCTATTTCTATGCTAAGTAATGCAAGTGAAGGTTGGTCTCAGACTTACTCCAGATGCCGACATGAGTGAGGACACCCAATCCCACAATTATCTTCCTCTGCTGCTGAGCCACCGTAACATAAGAGCAGATGACCTGATTGGGCTTATTCCCACAGAGGCCTATACTTTAATATTGTATTCTGTTTTAAAGGCCCCTGTTATCATTGGATAGAAATTACATGCGAACGTAAATGCTCACGCTTCTCCTGGGCAACCCCCTCCTCCCTGACCCCCCCTTCCCCCACCACCTCACTGGAAATTATACTACTTCAGTTTAACTTTTATTTCTTGAGTATCACTGATAAAATAAGGTAATATCGTACATTGACATGAAATTTACATTATATATACATGTATATATGGCTTGGGAAGATGCATAGGCGTTTTTCTTCTGTTTGTCAGTACATAAACGTTTATAACGCGAATATCTACTTAACATCCAAGCTGTAATCACTCGTATCGGGGTTATACGCCAGAAATATTAAATTTATCACAAATGTCATAAAGAAGAAAAGAAAAAGAAACATCCTATCAACTACTAATACGATTAACTCCCATTCCATTTTGCATATGTCGTAACGCCGTTTCATTTTCCAATGTTCCTCGAACCCATCCAACCTCCGTAAAATTTTCGCCAACGTATCATTGTCTTGGTTGTTTCCTTTCTTGTCTTCTGGAGGCGCCGAAAGAGGGCGTATCTGTGGTGTCCTGCATAGGCTTGTCGTTGACTTAAATTTCTGTAATGGTGTTTCTGTTGTCAAGTATTCTTCATCCTTCTTGGGTATTTTGCCGTTTACAGCAGGGGCGACTTTATCTTGTACCTTGAAAGAAAAAAATTAATCGTACCACGTGAATGCCTGGGGGGGCGTAGAGGACATTCATAGGATAACTGGTCAATGAATACACCTCAGTGTTAGATCATCAGCGCATGACCAGTTTGTCCTGAGGATGGCTCATGAGTAGAGCCGAAATTTTGACGGTAGGAAAGCATTGTCTGCGAAATTATTAATTCAACAATTCATGTATATATATACCAGACTTTTTAAAGAAAGTACTACGTGTAATTTGTATGTTTTGCTCCGCTGGACCACTTATATTTTCTAGCACGTTATTACTTTTATTTATACATCTTAAAAAACTGCGTCTCTCCCCTTATTAAAGTTAACCTAATAATTTTCTTGTGTTATTTCATGTATCTTAAAAGAAAACTGCGTCTCTCCCCTTATTAAAGTTAACGTAACAATTTTCTTGTGTTATTTCATGTATCTTATAAGAAGACTGCGTCTCTCCCCTTATTAAAGTTAACGTAACAATTTTCTTGTGTTATTTCATGTATCTTAAAAGATATGGAATGTCATTAACTTACGAGTTCTTACTGATAGGCCTACAGTTTTACGAATAATAATAATCACACGGCCATTGAAACCTACCTCAGATGGATTCCAGTTTTCTAGGTTCTGCTTCACCAGTCTCTGAAGACACATGGCCTTGGCCAAGTTGCCAAGGACGATTCTCCTGAGCCAGGGAGGAGCACGTGCACCATGCGCCCCGCTGTACTGCATGTTCATCACCATCACCGTCATGGCTGTGGAGATGCACAGCAGGAGAATGGCACAGCCAAAATAAATTGCTGGAAGAGTGAAAGGCAATGATACATATTCTGTGATGTATTTCACTTACAAATGGAGCTTATGTGTGTAGAGCAAATGCGTTGTATATACGAATTTAAAAAGCCCAGTCTTAATTAATAAGCACTGAATGATTTAAGTATACAGTATTATAAATCGCACGAACTTCTACAAACATGGTCAGGCACGAAGACTTTACAATTACAGACGAAGTGACCCTACCGTGCCTCAGATACATAATATCTACTTTTCTAATTCAGCAATAAGGTCGACTGACTTTCCCATTTGCTGTCACCATCGTCTAGGCGGTCTTAAAACCCACTACCTACCTATCAGCGGTATAGCATCAGCTTGGGGAGGCATAATCTCCGCCACTAGCAGCATGAACACTGTCAGCGCCAACAACACCGTGACCACAAGAGAAACCTTCTCTCCAGACTCTGGCGGTAGGTAAAACGTCAGCAGAGCGATGGATACGATAAAAATGCAAGGCACCATGATATTGAACATGTAATAGAGACTCCGCCTTCTCATGACGAAGTAAAACGTCACATCCGGGTAAGCCTCAGAGCAACATTGGTACGTCACGACGTGACGGACAACTGGCAAGGCAACCAGCTCCCACTCTCCGTTAGCGACGTAATTGGAGACGTCGCCATATTCCGTCATGTTCACCAAATTCAGATGATCTCCATGAAAACTCCAGGAGCCAAACTTCATGGGACACACCTGTAGGTCCTTTGGGAAGTATTGGACGTCCAGTTTGCAGTAGCTCTGGTAAAGCGCCGGCGCCAGCCATTTGACGCTGCCGTCAGACTTCACTTGGGCTTTGTAGGCGTCCAGCGTCCGTTGTTCCTCCGTCACACTGAAATGTACGTAGGCCTACATGTATATCAGACTTGGGTCACAAGTTATTTGTTTGCTATTTACAACAATTAAGCATTTCGGTATCTTTATCACACTTTGCTTTTAATATTTCCAACAAGGATTTATTTTTTGCATTTGTTGGTTTGGTAGTGAACATCCGAACTGCAACAGTAGTGGTCGGATTTCGTTAAGCTTTCCAGGATAGGTAAAAAATTTGGACTAAGAAACGGCTTGATTTGGTGGTGATCAATTCATAGCAATGAAAATTAGGCTGCCTTGGCGGAGGTTTGTGCTATCCGAGTACCTGTTAATTTTTTTTAATAATCATTGTTCTTGCTTAAGTAGCACAACTTTGTGTTAGAACTAGGCATTTCTTGTTATAAGTAAAAGAACTAAACGACGCGGTGCACGTAGTACTCTAACCATTGCAAGCCTAATGCCTAATGTTACTACCAGTGTTCGGAATGTTCTTCTTTCCTTCACACTTGTCACTCACTCGTTATAAAGGATGATGTCCGGTCGCCAGATACTTGTTATGGGCACGTGGATGTCCTCGATGTGACCATACAGGCTCTCGTTCCAGGATAGGCGAGAGTCGGACCATGTCTGTCAAAATAAATCTTGATGGTTTAATTATACAGTAGCTCTTTATGTATGTGAACGCCGCGTTCCTACCGGTTTCAAATTAAGACCCTTTTGGGGACAACGCGACACCAGACAAAACAAAATAAATTCAATTTTAATAATATATGGTGTGCATTAGACGATATTACATAGAGAACACACTTTGGATCAAATGGGCAAACCCAGTTTTAGCTTGGCGCATCGTAGAGGCTACATGTACGGCAGCCGCGAATCCGTACGATCCGAACTCAGACTGGTTTATGCAACGCCGTTATTAAGCATGGAAGAGAAGAGTGCGTCTTTTCCATTAATGAAACTTATTTTCTTACGAGCAGCACTTTTACTGATACTTGCACATTGCATGCACGTTCAACAAAAACTGGAAGATCGTTAAATGGATAAACGATAAGATAGTGACAACCACCTTCTTCATTTTCTTTGTTTCAAATTTAAAATACCAGTAGTTAACTCGACTAAGTTTTAGGTGGAGGCCTACTTTGCAATACTAGTCTACAAACGTCTGTCTATATTTATTCACACGTGCATCTATGCGTTCCAACTACTTCCGTAATAAAACACCTTTAGATCACAGTACGTGTTTTCATAGACTTAATCTCCGTATGTTCACTTACCATTCTTAGCCAAACAGCACTGAAGAGGATCTGGTTCTTCTCGTCCTAAAAATACAGCAAAAAGACATTTAATGATACTACCCTTCTTAAACACTCAATAATTCAGTGAAAATTTGCAAACATAAATTTCTGAAGATTTCAACCATGCACATGCGACAGTGGTGGCTGTTAAATAAATCTCACCTCCCCCCCCCCTCCTCCCCTTCGGCCCCAACAACTCATTCCTTGCATTTTTCAGTATTGAGCCACCTTTCTCATAATTGTTGATGCAGTAGGTGCAGGAAATGTGCCATTACAAACATAAATATTTTCCATCGCGCTGGAATATCAACTAGTTTAATAATGTCCACACTGTGCAATATTACGTACAGCGTATAATGCTCTCTCTTACACACACCACATACACACGCACGTGCACGTGCACACACAAAATAAAAAGGAGTTGGCTAAAACAACATTAATATATAAATGTTAACAATTTTCTACTGACCAAGTCACCGTGGCTTTTTTTAACTTTATTTTTTAATTATATATCTATTACAATGTCGCTTATACTTATCTTATACTGTCGCTTCTGTTCCTTAGCAAAATAAAAAATCTCNTTTTTGCATTTGTTGGTTTGGTAGTGAACATCCGAACTGCAACAGTAGTGGTCGGATTTCGTTAAGCTTTCCAGGATAGGTAAAAAATTTGGACTAAGAAACGGCTTGATTTGGTGGTGATCAATTCATAGCAATGAAAATTAGGCTGCCTTGGCGGAGGTTTGTGCTATCCGAGTACCTGTTAATTTTTTTTAATAATCATTGTTCTTGCTTAAGTAGCACAACTTTGTGTTAGAACTAGGCATTTCTTGTTATAAGTAAAAGAACTAAACGACGCGGTGCACGTAGTACTCTAACCATTGCAAGCCTAATGCCTAATGTTACTACCAGTGTTCGGAATGTTCTTCTTTCCTTCACACTTGTCACTCACTCGTTATAAAGGATGATGTCCGGTCGCCAGATACTTGTTATGGGCACGTGGATGTCCTCGATGTGACCATACAGGCTCTCGTTCCAGGATAGGCGAGAGTCGGACCATGTCTGTCAAAATAAATCGTGATGGTTTAATTATACAGTAGCTCTTTATGTATGTGAACGCCGCGTTCCTACCGGTTTCAAATTAAGACCCTTTTGGGGACAACGCGACACCAGACAAAACAAAATAAATTCAATTTTAATAATATATGGTGTGCATTAGACGATATTACATAGAGAACACACTTTGGATCAAATGGGCAAACCCAGTTTTAGCTTGGCGCATCGTAGAGGCTACATGTACGGCAGCCGCGAATCCGTACGATCCGAACTCAGACTGGTTTATGCAACGCCGTTATTAAGCATGGAAGAGAAGAGTGCGTCTTTTCCATTAATGAAACTTATTTTCTTACGAGCAGCACTTTTACTGATACTTGCACATTGCATGCACGTTCAACAAAAACTGGAAGATCGTTAAATGGATAAACGATAAGATAGTGACAACCACCTTCTTCATTTTCTTTGTTTCAAATTTAAAATACCAGTAGTTAACTCGACTAAGTTTTAGGTGGAGGCCTACTTTGCAATACTAGTCTACAAACGTCTGTCTATATTTATTCACACGTGCATCTATGCGTTCCAACTACTTCCGTAATAAAACACCTTTAGATCACAGTACGTGTTTTCATAGACTTAATCTCCGTATGTTCACTTACCATTCTTAGCCAAACAGCACTGAAGAGGATCTGGTTCTTCTCGTCCTAAAAATACAGCAAAAAGACATTTAATGATACTACCCTTCTTAAACACTCAATAATTCAGTGAAAATTTGCAAACATAAATTTCTGAAGATTTCAACCATGCACATGCGACAGTGGTGGCTGTTAAATAAATCTCACCTCCCCCCCCCCTCCTCCCCTTCGGCCCCAACAACTCATTCCTTGCATTTTTCAGTATTGAGCCACCTTTCTCATAATTGTTGATGCAGTAGGTGCAGGAAATGTGCCATTACAAACATAAATATTTTCCATCGCGCTGGAATATCAACTAGTTTAATAATGTCCACACTGTGCAATATTACGTACAGCGTATAATGCTCTCTCTCCCTCTTACACACACCACATACACACGCACGTGCACGTGCACACACAAAATAAAAAGGAGTTGGTTAAAACAACATTAATATATAAATGTTAACAATTTTCTACTGACCAAGTCACCGTGGCTTTTTTTAACTTTATTTTTTAATTATATATCTATTGCAATGTCGCTTATACTTATCTTATACTGTCGCTTCTGTTCCTTAGCAAAATAAAAAATCTCGGCCTTTATGGCCAGTAAAAAAATCTATCGTGCATCAGACACCAATGTAATAATATGGGATGACCTAACTAGGCTATAATTTTTGTTTTAGACCCAAACTTACATGAGTTCCTATACAAACGCCTTTAAAAATTTTTTTTTCTTTTTTTTTGGATAAATAGGCCTTTTATATATGTAGTATGACGAACAGTTCTCCGGTGTGAATAATCCGTAGTGAGAGTAAGTTATTTTAATATGACCGAGTTCTCACCTGGAGGTTTTCAGAAACAACAATCCTTTCAGGTATCCTGACCTCTGAAATTCATCGATTCAAATGATTAAACAAAGAGTTACACCTGTGATATCCTTTGACCTGATAGATATAAAAGCCTATGCCTTTTACAAAGCTTGTATTTCTATATGGGGCATTTTAAACTTTGTCAAAAAAAATTGAGCATATCTGATGAGGGGGTCGTTCGATTCAACCATTTATCCTTTCTTCAAACTACCATTTTAAAAAGGGCTGAAATATTCTAAACTTGAATGTTAAGTAAATTATTTCTGAAGTCATGGTTTCACAGACACCTTTGTTGCAACTTTCAAAAGGCACAAGACACTGTTGACTATTTTGTGAGTTCTAGTCAACTTTCAACGAAAAAGCGACTGTGAAAGCGTGTTATTATGAAGTAAGAAAACCGGTATGCTATACTTACAAAAAAGTCTTTCGCCTCAGTACTTATATTGTCGATATTAACAAGGCCACTTTTTAGCTAATTACAGTAAATTTGGGGACACAACAACCGTCCGAAAATATCACCTCCATTTCAGATTGTTTTTCCATTAAATTAGTTCAAAAATGCAAATTTAAAACTCATTTTTAGCGGTTACCAAATGGCAATGGAAGGTGTTTTTAGCTAAATGAAACGTCTCATTTTCAACCCTCTTTCTAGAGCACGTTGACCTGCCTATTATATAATTATTATTGTTGCTGTTGTTGTTTTAAAATCTGCAAATCTGTATATAACTTAGCTGATTGACAATTATAAACAGTCCGGTAAAAAAATAGGCTTATAAAATTCAGTCCTCCATTTAGGTAAGACACACCTATGACAGGAGCTGATCCAGTGATATTTTCTGACAGTATTCCAAATTATCTTTGTTGATCCGTCCTCCATTTTTGATGGTCTTCCAACAGAAAAAATAGATACCCGTCAATGTAAACTTTAAAATCTGACCGTCTTCCAGAAGACCCAGAAGACGGTCTCAATCGCCCCTGTATGACCATTCCTGATGTCGTTCTTCAGTGATGCCTGTTTTCGTTAAAATCAGATTCAGTCTATGATTAAATGATTATATTAGTACTAGATGTGCCACTTGTTTATTATCATTTTCAAATTATTGTTTTGTCTTCACACTTCTTTATATACATGTACATGTACTCACCAGGTCGATGATTCTGTTGACGGCCAGCCCAAGGCTGACGACCAGTGGACCTCCAGGACTGAGCGGGACAGATATGCTGTTATAGTTGGCAAATATACTGGACAACAGTGCGTTCTCAATGTCTGGGTCGTGGTCTTCATCGTGGTGGTCGTCCTCGGAACTGTACGCACCTGATTAGAGAGGAACAATGAATGTCTGCGCAGTGTCGTGAGCGTGTATATGTCTGTGGAAAATGTGTATGTATGGAAAATAATTAAAACGCCCATGAATGATGCAAATAACATGATTCCTTTTTTAATTCTTGGAATTAATGTACCTTCTGCCAGGGCCATAGATTGGGTAAATTGACCGTTATTCTCTGTACTGTCGCGTCAGAAAAATGTCCACATAATTAAAACTGCGGCCCTGGTAGAGGATAGAATTAATCTTATCTCTGGCCATAACCATGTTAGGATTTTATTTTAAATTTGCAAATTTTGTTTTATAAAAGATGTCATTTCCACTTTCCAAAGCCAAGAAAATATTCCAACTATGATCAGCCTTACTGTTTTTTTTTTTTTTTTTAAACAAAACATATGCTTGACTGTCACTTTACTCAATTTGCTCAATATTAACTATTCAGCCATTTCATCTTTTTAGGCCTACATTTACCCTGTGGTAGGAGTTGGTGAAACGACTCTCACAGGCTGACATTCCATAGTCAAGTTCGGCTATGCGGTTAACGAAAACTTAATTCATAAAACTTACAAATTACCTGTTGAATGGCGAGGGGTTTGTGTGTAATCTTAATAAGGAAATAAACTCCTCTACGTGGATTTTCTATCTTAATAATTGTACCCCCCCCCCTCCATTTTCTCCTCTATCGCACATTCTCATACACTTAACTAAAAACTCACCTTGGAGATACACATGAAGTACTGCGATGAAGGAGAAAATCGCGTACATATTTAATCCTCGTCTTCGTGTCATATTTCCCTTGCTGCTCATGTTCATATATGTGTATTTCCTTTAAGACGGGACAGCTAACGCCAACTTTCTCTTAACGATCTTCATGGGGGAAAATTCGTCACCTGTGCTTCGTTGACAATAAATTCACTGTCGTGGAACAGCAGCAGTGTCACCGGTCATACAAATGCAAGCGCACTCGATTGACGTGGCTGCTCGAGTACACATACCCTAACAGTGGGGATATACATAGCGTACAAATTTTGAACAGAATGTGATAAAGCGACAAGTCTGGGATGTGATTAAATGTAAAGCGGTGTTGCCTTAGCTAAATCAACCAGCCAAGGTGCATTGTGGCCTTTTATGCATACGCAGTTGCCAACGGAGAACTGTAAGTAAGCAGACTTATATAAGAGCAGTCTTTAATTCTTTCTTTTTATATGCTACTTTATGACAACAAGTGCCGGAGAACCCTTCGTGTTGTATTGGTCCTATTGACACATTGTAATACGAACTAAATTTAAAGTCCCTTTTTTTATTTGCTATTTTGCTTGTTGCGTTTATGTTTACAGATGTTATTTGTACAGCCTGACTTATTGCCACGCATTTACAAGTGTTTGTGAATTTGAAATTAATATAGGAAACAGAGATCTAGATTTCACGTGTTTGATCATTTATGACAATGTGGAACAAGTTTCATATTCCACGTGTAAATAAAAAAGCAATTATAAAAAAATGATGATTATAAAATAACCCCCCTTTAATACTTAACGCATGAAATTCCAAAAGCCTAGTATATGTCTCCAATATAAAAAAAGCGGTCACTACTGGATTAAATGTATTAACAGTCTTTCACATTTGCTAATGGCGTGTTTAAGTGATCTCTCTGTAAAACTGACATTCATATTTCGATAAGCGGATACACAAGCGCGGTAAGGTATTAGATTACCACGCCTCAGTCAAAAATCGCTGAACTATCCCTATAATGCCATTGTGTAATCCCTCACAATAGTTTGAATGAGATTTATATGAAACTATGCCTCAAGAAGTCTAAACAATTTTTTTGTTAAAGTCAGCTTAAATGGGGAAAAAAAGAGTTTTTTAAAGTCAGCTTTAATGGGGAAAACGAATGCAAATTCAATGATGATTTTTTTATACGGCAAACAGGACAAGATCTGTCTTTCCTATAAGCAGAAAATAGGTCACAAGATTCCAACGTACACTTCTGTAAAAAAAAAACAAAAAACGACATAAAATACCAGCATATCTTATAAGTGAAATTGTTGTTTGTGATCGCTGGTCGTGGGTTTGTGATATATAATATTACGCCAATTTAACGACTTGAACCGCGGTTTCATGGTGCGAACAGAGAAAAACATCTGTAAAGAAATTTAAGCCATATTTCTTTTAACTTCTTTATATATGTAACTGTCCCTGGACTATGTGGCTGACTCTCAGGGTGTGCACTTGACCCCTTCGCTACTGAGGTATTCCCTTGTTCTCCGACACCCCCCCCCAAAAAAAAAATTAATATTATATTGACGAAATGAAATCTAAAATAGTAAAACAAGTAAAAGAATAAGAGAAAGATAAAGCAAGCATTTTTTGTCATCCTTTACTCTTTCACTTTACTGTATTTAATAATCCTCCGTAGTTTACACATCACAAATTTCACTCGATAATGTGTCTTTGTCTGCCGCCCCCCCCTCCCCCACCCCCCACCCCCCACCCCCTCGAAAAATACAAAACGGACATGTGCCGATTTTTGGGGGAAAATTATGTCATAACGCACTGGTCATAATGTAGAGTTATAATATTATGACGCCATAGGTCAAAGCAAAACGTAACGCAACGTAATCATTACGTCAGATGGTAACGGCAGTTATTCAAGATTTAGCGTAAACAAAAGAAAGCGATCTATAATGTTTCTTTTTTAAAATGATAATAATTTCACATCTAGCGTTTCTGGTTGCACAACGCAGTTACGAATACATCAAACGGAGAGCCCTGGAAAATAAGGTGATTAATCAACCGGTTACAAAGTGCGTTTGGTTGCGAAATAACAGACTTCTCTATAACATTCCTACTTATTTTACGAGGAAAGGGTCCACTACGCTTTCCAAATTTACTTTTTGTGAAAATATAAGGTTTTATATACCGGAGCTTGAAGAAAATAACAATGTACAAATTCTTTTAAAACAAATAGAGACTCCCGTGGTACGTTTAAAACGAATGCGTTTTCTTATTTACAGATCAGAAAGCTTTACATGAATGAATTTCCTAACAACCAAGTGTTGGGGGTCGGCAGTTACGGCCATGTGTACAAGGTATAGGCCCATAAGTTCAAATAAATTCACTGTATCACGTTGTATGCATCTTTTTAGAACAAATCTTATTTTAGTAAGGTTGTCATGATGACTCTATACCACTTATTTTGTGGTAAAACTTTTTTAATAGAAATTGTCATTCTTTCTTTATGTCATATCTTTTATTCAATGTATGTGTGGGGGGGGGGGGGGGGGGGGTCTGGACGGAGTCACCCTGAGAACTGATAGTAGCATTCCTCCATTGTCTCCGCTTCCGTAAACCTTTACATATCCCAAACTCAGGGTGGGGGATGGGGGTCATGTTATTTTGCAAGACGATTGGAACAAATCAGATAAACAAACAGACATCGTGGGCTATATAATCATGTTCTTATTTTAGTTTTCAAACGACTGGGCATTGAAAGTACCGGTAGACATTGACAGGGCTCAAGCATTTGTAAAGGAGATCGGTCTTCTAAGAGAGCTCAAAAGCGATTTCATTTTGAGGTAGCTATTTTCACTTCTTCTCTAAGTTAATGTTTTAAAATCACCCTCATTGCATTTTAGTCAAATTACGCTCATATCCTGATATTATTCTTTTTAATTCCTTTCAGTCATTTTGAAAACTTTAGTCATATTTTCTTGTATTGTTTATGTTTATTGTTTAAAGGGTCTCATAACATTATTATCCTTTCATATTTTTAGTTTGCACCATTCATTCGAGGTAAAGCCTGGCTTACCTGTTGTTTTGACAGAACTTTGCCCACTCGACCTCCAGCGTCTGACCGATTATCAGTACGTGTTAATTCAATTTCTCTTTTTATGATCTAATTCTATTTTTCCCCTACTCTTGTTTTCGACGTTAAAATAGGTATAATAATGTGAACTGTTGCTTGCTTTTTTTATCATTTATTATCCTCTTCTTGTACTACATGTAGTTCCTTAGGATATTGGGCATTTTTAAAAAATTATGTAAATCTACATATTTTTTTAATAATTCTAAAATTTATTTGTTCATGGACCACGTTTCTAATATCGTAATGATAATTATTCCATATAAATCTTCGAATTTTGAAGGAAACAAAAAATAAGATTTAAAAAATACGATGGGAATTCCATTTTGTTTTCACTTATGTAACTATTTCTATTTTCAGCGGGATTTTAGAGTCAAGGGCTGTCAAGTTTGTCACGGTGTCGGTCTGTATAGCCCTGCAGTTCATGAGGAATAAAAGACTCATTCACTTTGACATTAAGCTGAATAATATCCTGATTAACCGGAATGGCATCCCCAAAGTGGTGAGCTACAATCATATCAGTAAAAGCGCGACATTTTAAACATTTTTCTATCACAAAATAATTAGTTATTTTATGTACAACTACATTATAAGGCTCAGAATACCATATGCACATCAACAGTTACAGCAAGGCGTGGTGTTCTTTATAAAATAATGTTTTGCAATTCACCAAAGGAAGTTTTGCCGACTCTCTAAATTGTTACATATTCTACGCAATTTTGCAACGATTTTCAGTTTAAATGTGTTGTAAAGTGAAATTTTAAAACAAGAGCACTGCAGTGAACACACAGCAACTATTAGTACGTGTTTTTTTTATCTATGTTCAATTATTTATTCAGTTTCATTTTTTCAGTGTGATTTGGGGTCCGCCCACCGCTGTGACGAGAGCGGAGAGAGTAGCTGGGGACCGAGGATGGTAGCTTACACCATCACCAAGAACCTCGCCCCGGAAATTCTCATGCGCACTTCCGCGTCCGTTCAGGCGGATTACTTTGCTCTGGGTGTGATGATCTTCGAGTTGTACGTTGGAAGGTAAAAATATTACTTGATAGCAGTGCTGTAAAAATTACTGACACATGCAGCCATTTGGAAAAAAATCAATTTTTACAGATAGAGTTGTGTATTTTCTTCCTTTTATCCTTCGTATTGAGCAATCTTTTAATATATCTTTGCCCCCCCCCCTCCCCCGTGGAAAACGGAGCAAAATAGGTTTATTTTATGATTCTGTTTCACTTCAATTTTTCTCTGGCTATAAACTTTAACGCACTGGAATTCAGATTATATTGACATTTAATTCGATTAAATTTAAACCGAAATTAGAGATCCACCCACTCTTTTTCTTTTGCTTTGGCGCCATTGATTTTATAAAATGTCTCAAAAGTGAATATTCACCCAAATTTCTTTATGCAGACATCCTCTCTGGTACAACGAGCCACACGGCAGAGCAGCCATCAAAGTGAAAATCCTGGCTGGAAATATCCTCCATGCCGACTATGCAGAACCGGCATTCCGGGAGTTTGCTGAGAACTTGATCTGGTGAGCCGCTTTCTTTGGCATTTATCGATATTCTCTTTGTATTTGATTATTTATTTAACTTTTTTATCTTCTCTCTGCGTATTTATTGATGTTTTTTGTATTTATTTCTATCTCTGTTTATTCATTATTCCATCCATCCATTCATTCATTCGAGAGATGTTTAAGAGTTAAAAAATAGCATTCATTTTTTCAAAATTTGTATACTTAGATTTTTTAAAATTTTGACTAATTGTGCCGTTGATCCTATATTTTCAGTGATAAAGTCAACAGAGTGCAAGACGTGAATGGCATATTGTGCCTTCGGTAAGAGTTCGCTAGCTATTTCACCTTGGAATTACATAGATTGAAGAATTTATTTAAACCTATTTATAGATATTTTCCTTTTTCATTCGTTCCTGTCTGTTCAGTCTTTGTTTACTTTCTATTGCTATTTCTATTTGTTTTTCTTTTATTTTTCATCTTCATTTTTGTTTGCTTATTTTTCTCAGTTGGCTTGCTGATTATCACACTAACGTATTCCCTATGGACTGCAGGTCCTCCCCTCTTCTTGCTTTTGTCCAGGTACTTGCTTCTTTTTTCCATTCTCTTCTTTTATATGCTTGTGCTTTTGTTGTTCTTTATCATTTTCCTTGTCTGGATGCACATTTCAGTAACACAAATTTTGTGCATAATTTCCCTTTTGGTACGGTAATATTAGTATAGTTTTTACACAGGTTTGCATATATGTATCCCAGTGACTTTGCAACTGCTCGTAATTCAGGATCACGCATGAAGCGTGTCACCATTTGCGAATACATTGTTATATGGAATTTATACAATTATATTATTAAACAGTATAGTATACAGTAGGCTAAAACCTAACACACAAAAAATATAAACTTAAATGCAGTGACCTTCTTGGAAATAATCGATGTTATGGAAACCTATTATCGTTGTTTTCGAAGTAAGAATTTCTTTTGTTCTTATTTTCATATTTTCTTTTTAACAGGAATCTTTCCTGAAAGACATGGAGAGGATAAGGTACCCTCCAGCTACGGCGCACCGCCAAACTCACATTACCACACAGGACGCAGCACTCGCCCCAACTCCTGGCACTGGCGATAATAACTGTGAGCTTGTGCCTTGGGACATGCCAGACGACGAGGCGGCAGGCTTCAACGAATTGTTTCAGTGGGATGTGCCCAATGACGAGGGGGAAGACAGCGGCATAGTGGCCATGGAGATGCCCGAAAATGGGAAAGGTGGCATGATGGCATTGGACATGCCCAGTGATGAGATTGAGGCCGAGGAAGACATGCCCGAGTGGGATGCTCCAGTGGGGGATTTCGACTTTGATTTCACCTTTGAAGAGGATTGAACACTTTTCAATAGTCGTTGTATCGACAGACAATCCTGAAATCCCCACAATG